TATAAATGAACATCTAACAAAGAAAAATGGCAATATTGCTCGTGAAGCAAGGTTGTTAAAAAAACAGAACAAAATAGTATCAACATGGACAAGAAATGGAAAAATTTGGATTAAAGTACAGGAAGGTTCACAAGCTAAAATAATACAAAAGTTAAAGGATTTGGAAAGATTGAGATGAGCTTAGGAGATGATGATATATTGTATTATGAAATAGTTTGTACATAAAATCGACGAAACGAACACCCTAATGAAAAAATACATTGAATCATGACGAGGTACGATGAATCAGAATTATAATATATAATGTAGAAGATGTTATTGATAGAAATCTTTTTCCAGTTGTAAAAGGTAGTGAATATTATAACGTAGTTCAACAAAATTAATATGGCAAATGGAGCACTCTCTATAATTCATTTAAATTGTAGAAGCATTAATGCAAATATATCTAAGATATCAGATTACTTAAAAAAATTTAATAACACTTTTACAATAGTAGCACTCTCAGAAACATGGCTAAATGATGGAAACATAAATAATGCTTATATTGAAGGGTATGAATTATTTCACATGAATAGGAAAAATAAAAAAGGTGGAGGAGTGGCTCTGTTTATCAAATGTGGAATAAAGTGTAGATTGAATAGTGAAATGTCAATAATTGTTGACAATATAATGGAAATGATAACAATAGAAATAATAAATAAAAATAATAAAAACATAACAATAAGTTGTGTATATCGATCACCTGGATCAAAAATAGAGTCATTCACAGACAAAGTCATGGAGTTATTGGTTAAGAGTTGTAATAAAAAAGTTTTTTTGTGTGGAGATTTTAATATAGATCTAGGGAATATAACTGATTCATATAACATTGGTACATTTATGGATTCAATGTATAGTTTGAGTTTTTTCCCGTTGATATCAAATCCAACGAGAATCACAACACATAGTGCTACAGTAATAGATAATATTTTTATAAATATCACAGATGGTGATGTGGTAGGTGGTATTCTGATGACTGATTTAAGTGATCATTTACCAATTTTTACAATTTACAAAAATGATGAAATTTATATAAAACCAATTATAAGAAATAATAAAATAATAAACACATCCAAAAAAGCATTAGACAAATTTAAAGATGATTTAGATAAACAAAATTGGGAAGATGTGTATGTTGATGATGTGAACAAATCTTATGATAAGTTTATGAACATTCTAGATGTTTTGTATCAAAAAAATAGTGTGCAAAATAATTATATAAAGAAAGATACTGTTGATCAACCATGGATTATGAAAGGATTGAGAAATGCATGTACGAGTCTTTCTCAATATTTTATGGAAAATAATGTGGAAATCCATGATGAAAATGAAATCGTAAATGGATTTAATAATTACTTTGTAAATGTTGGATCTAACCTTGCAAATACAATACCAAAAGTGGATAAAAATGTGTTATTTAATCAGTGATTGTGTAAACAGTATGTTTCTAAAGGGAACTGACAAAGAAGAAATAATGAAGGTAGTTAAAAAATTTACTGACAAAAGATCAAAAGACTGTGAAGACATGGATATGATGGTTATAAAAGAAATAATAAGTCATGTTATTGAGCCATTTACATATATATGTAATTTGTCATTTTCAACAGGAGTATTCCCAGACAGAATGAAAATAGCTAAGGTAGTTCCGCTTTTTAAACATGGTGACAAATGTGTATTTAACAACTACAGACCTATATCTTTGTTGCCACAATTCTCAAAAATTCTAGAAAAAATATTTGTGACCAGATTTGACCTATTTCTTGATAAAAATAATATTTTAAGTAATAGTCAGTATGGGTTCAGATCAAAAAATTCAACATCCATGGCTCTTATGGAGTAGATGGAACAAGTTACTACAGCTATAGATCAAAAACAACATTGTATAAGTATATTTGTGGATTTAAAAAAAGCATTTGACACAATTGACCACACCATTCTGATTAATAAATTAAAAAAATATGGTATTAGAGGACCAGCTTTGCAGTGGATATGTAGTTATTTAAAAGACAGAAAACAGTTTGAACAAATAGACGATGTAAGATCTAACCTAAGCAGTATTTCATGTGGAGTGCCACAAGGCTCTGTACTTGGACCTAAGTTGTTTATTTTGTATGTAAATGATTTGACGGAGGCATCCAGTATCCTTAAATGTGTTCTCTTTGCTGATGATACCACTTTCTTTTATTTGGGTAAAGACTTGGAACAGATGTTTGAGTTGATGAAGATGGAGTTTGTCAAAATACAAAATTGGTTTAAATTAAACAAGTTATCATTGAACCTTGATAAAACTAATTATATAATATTTAGTAAAAAAAAAGATAACTGTCGATGTTCCTTTTAGAGTTGATGGTGTTGAGATATGCAGAGTAGGTGAGGTGAAATTTTTGGGTGTAATTATTGATGATAAACTGTCATGGAAACAGCACATAAATTCTGTAAAAACTAAAATATCTAAATCCACCGCAGTACTGTATAAAATAAGGGACTTATTGAATTATAAAGCCTTGTATTTGCTGTATAATACAATTATAGTCCCACATTTAATTTATTGTGTTGAAGTTTGGGGAACAGCATGTAAAACTATAACGATGCCTATTTTTATTTTGCAGAAAAGAGCTATAAGAATTATCACAAGAAAGTATTATTGTCATCCATCTAGTATTTTATTTTATCAATTGAAATTACTGAAGTTTCATGATTTGGTTAACTATAATATTCTTTTAGTACTGTATAAAGTTCAGAACTACACACTACCTTCAAACATTCAAACGTATTTTGTAAAAAGGATAAGTTGCTATAATCTTAAGAGAACAGACATTTTTGTTAAACCACAGTACAGAACCAGTTTAAAGGGGCGGTCTACTTCAATTCAGGGAATAGGTCTGTGGAATAGTTTGGAAAACGATGTAAAAAAAGTAAAGTCATTGCCTATATTTAAGAAAATGATTAAGATTAAAATTTTGGAAAGATACATATAAATACGTAAAATTGTGATGAGTTATTTATTTTGTTATATTACTTATAGATGATTATTGTTTGAATTGATTGTTTGAATTGATTTTGTTTTAAACAAGGGGCAGATATGATAAGATTTTTTCTTCTTCTGCTACCTTTCATTTTATGACGTGTTTTTTTTTCATTTGGTTTCTAAATTGTTTTTGTGTTTTAAATATGAAATGAATAAAAATGACAAACAAAACAAACAAACAAAGTATGTGTGAGTGTTCTGGACAGACAGTGTCTCCTGCAGTGGAGAACATGTTTGCTGGGTGTAGTAGAAGAAGCTTGAACACATAAATATGAGAATTCAAGATCTGACAGCAAAGGGTAAGTCTTGTGTTGGTTCCACCACCAGCAGCAGGTCCTCAGACAGAATGGCTGGTGGAATTTCCTGGTACATCTGCAGCCCTCTCTCCACTTGTTTCTTGATGGACATGGAGCTGTGACATTATGTTTTGTGCCTCTTCCTCAGTAAAAAGCTTCTCCAGTGGAGACTTTCTGGACAGATTGCAGGGAGGTGGTTCCTAAGCAAACAACAGGTTCATCAGTATTACCAGTAAAAAGGGATTATTAAAGGCATGATCATTGTTAAGATTGAGAATGTATATAATTTCTGCTATTGTACACTTACACTCTCCTCATCCTCCACTTCCTCATTCTCAGGCCTTTCCTCAGACTGCATGGTGACCCCATCATCCTCACAGACTTCCTCTGTTGACCACAAATAACATTACTAGTATTTAGATTTCAGATTTTAACAACAGAAAAGGTCAGTTGTGCATGAATGACATTTCACCTGCTCAATCAGCTTTCTCTGGACCTGCTCCCAGACACTGTCATCCATCTTCTGTTTAAAGTGCAGAGCAGCTCTTCTCCACCTTAAACCAAGATTGGATTAACTTATTTGACAAGTGGTCCATGTTAAGTGGTGTGTACTTGGGTTTATGGTTTTCACCATGTCCCTGCAAACATATAAATAAACATGCAATATCACTGTTACTGTAACATTAGCTTAAGATGGACTATTAGTTAGCTTAGCTCTATTGTTATTGCCTAACTAACCTAAATGGTGATGATTCCACAATGATTCCATGATTTCTGAAAAGGGATGCAACCTTTTCACATTCTGTAACCGTTGTGGCACTCTTCATTCAATTAGTTGCACCAACATGTTTCCCTTGGACACTATGGTAAATAGAAGAACACATTGTGGAGCCTGGCTAACATTAGTAGCCATTTCAGGCTGTTTGTCTAAGAAAAAAGTATGAGCTAATGTTAGCATGGTGTTTGCATTTGAGTTGACCTACCGCTTTAAGCTGAGTATAACTTGCTAGCTGCCTTAATGTTGGTATGTGACATAGTTTATAGTTTTATTTACCCTGATGGAGCCGGAGAAGGAGGCAACAAAAATAGTCCGGCGTAACGCTTCAAAGATGGGCCACACTTTTATTTCTACACCCTCCTTTGCATGATATAAAATTATTGCAAGTGCTGCACTGAGCTGACTGGTCATTTTATTAAAGTTAAGTCACGCTTTCGATCACGGCCACTCACTCTCCATGCGTATCCATGTCCTCTGTATGCGAACACTTCCGGTGGATTCTTTTTTGATGGTTTTCGGCGAGCGGCTTGTTCTTCATTGGTGTTCAGCGGGCGGCTTCTACTGCCGGTTGGCGGACTAGGCATCGAAAGTAGGAATCAAAAATAAATATTTCAAACGATTCCAGGAAAACTGGACAGTTAGTCCCGGTTCCATTCGATTCTGAATCCTCGATGCCCAACCCTAATGCAGACAGAAGATGGTGATTGTCAGGGTAAACTTGTGTGTGTGTGTGTGTGTGTGTGTGTGTGTGTGTGTGTGTGTGTGT